TTTTTAAACAGGCTTTCAAATGGAAGATATGAGGCTTCTAACATGAACAATTTTCTTCCTTTAAAAGCAAATAACTTGAAATCAAAAATCAAAAAATCGGCTTCAGATATGACACAATAGAGATCAGTGAGTGGTGAAATCAACTTGCTTTTTTTTTTTTCTTGAGTAGCGAACTTGGACACAAAATCACGTTTCACAAATTTTAACTTATGAACATCGCAACATTACCGTAAAGCGCGTTTCATTGGATAAAAAATAATACTGGTAAACTCTCACCACTCCCCAATATATCTGTTAAGTTCTAGCGAGTTCAAAATTGACACCCCTACCCAAATTTTGCCTTATGAAGGCGTTTAATTTTGCCGAATGTTTCGCCAAAGACCCGCAGCTTAAAAAAGTGCACATCTGGCCGTCATTTGCTTGTCTGTATTCCATAATGTTTTCAGAAAATCAAATAGTCACAAATGATCACAAAATCCTGCTGTCGGACAACATGAACATGAAACATGAACAACATATTTCTTGGAAAAAATTTTCCCGGGCGTCCACTCATTTAGGACATAATGACACCTTTGTCTTTTATTCGAAATATCTTTTTTTTACTTAATATCTCCACACGCTTTTCAAGACTTTCTTTGAACATTTTTTTTCTCTGAATATCAGAAAATTAACTTCCACTGAGTGAAAATCATTTTGATTTTTGTCACTCTAAAAACTTTAAAAACCTTAAAAAATACAAGATAGGTGATCGTATCTGACTTGCGTCAGCGACTCGCGTCAGCCGTCTCGCGCCAGCGCCAATTTCTCAAGTTTCATTAAGGCCTGGTCAAGCGGTGCATGATTGTTGATGATTGTTTTGCGTTGGAAACTATCATCAACAATCATGCACAATCATGCGGGTGGTCAAACGACTTAAACCAAAACTTCCTAAATTAACATTAACAACATAAGCTGAGCGCGACGTGTGTAGCATTGCCCGTGTCAACAAATATGCCCAGCAAGTATATCACTTTGGTTGCATGTCAGCTACCGTCGGTACGATCGGCAGTTGTAATTCAGGTTGTCAATTTCCAAGGC